ACTAGAAGCAGAGAAGTTAGTTTCATTTAAATTGGCTGGTGAGTATGGTTCTCTTTCTTATTATACTATAAGATATGGATAAAAGAATTGTTTAAATTTATTTACCTATTATTAATATCACTTTTTTCAAGGTATCAATCGAATCTCAATTGGATTACAAGCATTGAACCAAACTGACCTCAAGATATTGGGACGTGATCATTCCGTGAAGGAATCTATCCGTGTTTTACACAAAGCCAAGAAACTCTTCCCAGGTCGTACCTCAATAGATTTGATGTTTGCAAGACCTGGACAGACAGTTGCATCATGGCTGAAAGAACTAGAGGAAGTTATAATGTATGCAGATGATCACATCTCTCTTTATCAGTTGACTTTAGAGCGAGGAACAGAATTGTTCAAGTGGTATCAGCAAGGGCAAATATCTGTCCCAGAAAGCGATGTCTCTGCAGAAATGTACAAAGCAGCCGTTTGTATCCTAGCTGAGGCTGGGTATGAAAGGTATGAGGTGTCAAACTTCGCAAAACCTGGTTCTGAAAGCCAACACAATCAAGCTTATTGGTCAGGAAGTCAATATTTAGGTGTTGGACCTGGGGCACATGGGAGATTTGTGCCCCTGAACCAGGATAAGTATCCAGATACATCAGTACAGAGAGGAACAAAGCCTGATGGATTAACAGGTGTCAGTGATGAAGGTTATTCAGAAATTGTTTTTAAAAGTGATCAATCTGGGTTACCAATGCGTGAAGCAAGGATTCAGACACTAGAACCGTTACCATGGATGAAGGAGGTCCATAGAAATGGGCACGGAACCAGAAGAAGAGTGAAACAGAGTGTTCGGGAAATATTACAAGAATTGATCATGCTGGGATTGAGAACTAAAAGAGGAATATCAAACAACAAATGGCTTGAACATTCTGGTAGAATTTCTTTGAGGCAAATTTTCCAGAAAAATGAAGCAGTTAAGATTTTGGAAAATCATGGATTGGTTAAAATATCTGATGGATATCTGAAACCAACTGCAGCAGGTTTAACAGTCGCTGATAGCCTGACTACGGAACTAATTCTTGCTCTTGATGAATATATCAAGATATCCAGCAAATAATCTTTAAAAAAAAATTTTTTGTTCGACAACTACACAATGGAAAGACATTTTTATTTCTTTATCAACCGAGGTGTATTGATAGTGTAACAAAATGGTGCAGTCCACCCCCCTATTATAAATAGATTAGGCCACTCCCCAATGCTGG